AATAATATAACGAGTTTAAAGGCAAACATTTTTTTACTTGTTATTTAAAGTCTTAAGATTTATATATAGATATTAATAAGTTTGATTTGGTACCTATTATAAGGGAAATATAACCCGGAACTTCTTTGCAAACGCCGCTGTTATACGGCATCTAAACCACACAAAAACTGCGCAATATCGGGCTTACGTCGGTCGTTAGTGTGGTGTGCGGGGTTGTTTGTACTAAATTGCAGTTATTGCGCTAAAATCAAAACCACTTTGATATTTTGCTCATGCTTGTGTTATTGTACAATAATTTGTGCTGCGTTTGACGACAAGTGCGGAATTTATAGTCTAGTTTTGATTTTGGTGTCCAGATCGTGCTATAAAATATGGATAAGAGCGTCGAAAAAAATTAAATTTTTTTAATATTCTTTTTTTTTGCGTTTTAAAGCTGAAACTATCAAAATATACAATAGGCATTCTTTATTGTCAGGACGGACAATACGTCACGGAGACAATTATCAGGGTTTTTGACAACTAATAGTTATTTCTTTATCGCCTTGACAGCATTGTCTAATGTAAACGCGTCGTAAGGTACGTTCTCTCCGCTATCGTATTTTTCACCACACTTATTGGATGTCAGTTCTGAAAGTTGGCAGTACTGACTGCGAAATGTCAAATTCTCGTGTTTTGTACTTTTCTTCCTCTTTCTCTTTCTTTTCTGATTTTCCAGGCTTGGTGGGTGTTTTGTGTTCTTTGCCAAAATTTAATCTTAAAATATTTCAATTTGCTTGAGCCATCGCCGAAAAATTTTAAGTAAAATGTGTATTTTAAATTATTCCCATTATAGTTAAGAAACTATTTTATTGTTTTGTTATATTTTGATACACTTTTTTGTGTACTCTCGAATTGTGTGATGGCGACGGCCCTATACTTGTATATTAGTAATGCAGCTCTAACGATTTATACGCATTCTTTGATTTCCAGGTATTGAAAGCCAGAAATGGGTCGTGTTATTCGTGCACAACGTAAAGGCGCTGGGTCCGTCTTCAAGGCCCATGTTAAGAGGCGTAAGGGAGCCGCCAAATTAAGACCTTTGGATTTCTCTGAACGCAATGGATACATTCGTGGCGTGGTTAAGGTAAATTAATGCAATAAAAATGCTAGTAACAAGTAGTTAAACGTGAATAATTTTTTACAGGAAATTATCCATGATCCCGGCCGCGGTGCTCCCTTGGCTGTTGTACACTTCCGTGACCCCTATCGCTACAAAATTCGCAAGGAATTGTTCATTGCACCAGAGGGCATGCATACCGGTCAATTCGTGTACTGTGGCCGCAAAGCTACCTTGCAAATCGGCAATGTGATGCCACTGTCAGTCATGCCTGAAGGTACCATCATCTGCAATTTGGAGGAGAAGACTGGTGATCGTGGCCGTCTGGCACGTACATCAGGTAACTACGCAACTGTGATTGCCCACAATCCCGACACCAAGAAGACCCGTGTCAAGCTGCCGTCTGGTGCCAAGAAAGTTGTGCCCTCCGCCAATCGTGCTATGGTTGGTATTGTTGCCGGTGGTGGTCGTATCGACAAGCCCATCTTGAAGGCTGGTCGTGCATATCACAAGTATAAGGTGAAACGCAACAGCTGGCCAAAGGTTCGTGGTGTGGCTATGAACCCTGTTGAGCATCCTCACGGTGGTGGTAACCATCAACATATTGGTAAAGCTTCGACAGTCAAACGTGGTACATCTGCTGGTCGTAAGGTCGGTCTCATCGCTGCCCGTCGTACCGGTAGAATACGTGGTGGTAAGGGAGATAGCAAGGACAAATAAGCTAAATTATGATCAGAATGCGTGCAGGAGTAAATATAGAAGAAGTGAGAAGTTTGTGTATTTGATAGCGAATACAAGGAAATTAATATGGAACCACTTTTACACAATAAAAATCACTGTTTTAAAAATTTACTTATTTATTGCCTTTGTGTAATCTGTATTATCGTACGCAACCCAAACTTGCTACCGAAAATTGAAATCTGTCGCGATAAAAGTAATAACTTCCAAAATAAGAGAAGGTTACTCACAGATGTATTCGTTTCTCTGTTTTTTTTTTTTACGATATTCAAAATGTCTTCCATTATCTTTTTCGTAAATTTTTATTAAAAATTTAGCTCAATTTGTAACAAAAATCATGTAAATTAATTTTGCGAACTTCTTCAAAAGTCTGAGAATTAAAAAAAAAAATGCTACCAAAGTTTTTAATAATGCCGAATTTCCACTAGGTATTGAAATGACAAAAAATGGATGTCATTAAAAAAAATGCCAAGCGGAGATTAACTCAACGACTATTTTTTTAATGTCGAAGTTGGGGAATTAAAAAATAATCATGTCATTAAGTTCATTCCTACATGGCATTTTTTAAATGGCATAAATATTTTCAATTTTCAATCCCTAGTGGAAATTCGGCATTAGATTTAACAAAATTTAAGTATAGCTACAGTTCGGTAGCCCTGGGTAGCCCATTCTATTTCAATATAATAAAGAGCGATATACCATCATCGAAAAAATTGTCAAAAATCAATGGTATTCCTAGGCACTACAAAGCTTGCACTTAATTACTTTGAATTTGAATGCACTACAAAACTGCATATCTACTCAAAAAAAATTCTTAAAACTCTGAGCTCGAATCGTAACATCCGTTCATGGATCGAAAATCATACGAAAGAAATGATAAGTGGGATATAGAGTACGTTCGCGTATGTCATAACATGAAAACCGTGTTTACGTAACGAGTAATACGATATTGTCTATGAAGTTCGAGTCCTGATTAAAAAGTTTGAAATTTTGATGGGCGCAATTTAAATTTTGCAACAGTGCGTTATATTTTAAATAGAAATTAACGAAAAAGATTAAAAATATCGGCGCTGATGCATAAATGGTTAAGGCATTTAGCATTTTGTGCCCACATAGTTACATTCGCGTACCTTTTACTGAATTTTGCTGGAAATGAGTAAACAAACAACTAATTATTGACGTATCAGCTTTTGACATTGAGGTACGCAAACAAAAATTGCAAACTAGGGGAAATTGAGAAAGCAAAGTGACGTGTAATTTTGAGGGGAAATTACTGGTTTCTGCTGAAAAAAAATTTCCCAGCTACAATTTGCCAGCTAGGAAACGGCTGGTAAGAATTTAAGCAAATTATAAATTTGAATTTGATGGGTTAGAAGTTAAAAGATAAAATACGACAAATTAAACTTGCAAGATGTAATTATTCAACAAGCTGGAGATTTGAATACTATGTCGCCATGGTTACGCCATGTAAAAATGACAGCACTTAGTCATTTCACTGAGATGGTAGAAGTACTCACTAGGGCATTCAATCCCGGGATGCAGAATACTGGGTTCGTGGACACTTTTCCATGTACCGAAACCCCGGGATTACAGCTCCGGGATTCCGTTATTTTTACTGATTCATTTACAGAATAAAATGAGATGTTGAAAACGAAAAAAATAGTTAATTTGACATGAAACACGAGAAATACAGAACACCAAAATTTAAACTCAAAGTGAACTTCAGCCATTTGCACTCGGAAGTGAATTTCAGAACTTGCCTGAATAATTGTACTTGTTCAAACATTTTGTGCAAAAACTGTGTAATAACGAAAAATCTGGAAGCAATTGAAAACACAACAAGCTTTTAAAGTTGCAGATTTGTCCTACATTTTACTTTGTTGGCCCTTTTTTTGGAAGAGGAATTCTGCAAATATAAGTAAGTGTTTTTGACAAGTAATATAGATATTTAAGTATACTCTAAAAATATTTAAACATTAAATAACGGACTATTTTACGAAGGGCATTATGCTCCCCGTAAAATCAAATGTGGTGACAATGAATCTCTGTGGTTTAAGAAAAGCGAACCTACTGCAAAATGCAAAAAAAATTGTGATGGAGTCGACGTCCCGAAAAAACTCGGGTTCCCGGTATTAGAATTTTTGCATACAGAAACCCCGGGATTTGTAAAATGCTTCGGATTGAATTCCACAAACATAAACTTTTAAGTTCATACAATTCTTCCCTTAAATAGGCAGTGTAGCTGCTTGAAGTTTTTTCTAAATTATACTAAAATTTAATGGGCTATAAAACTATGGCCCGTAGTCATAGTCAAAATAAAGTCGACTTTAAAGTTAGTTGCAGCTTTTTTGACAGATATCCCATTGAAAATTATGTCAAAAAGCTGCAACTAACTTTAAAGACAACTTTATTTTGACTATGACTACGGGCCTATGTGTTTAAAAAGTATGACGTTTCAAAATTTTTTATGAGAAAGGTAATCAAATGTCTTTTGGCAACTCTGCTTTTCCGTGTAAATAGTTGGCAACGTTGCTGTCAAAAATGGAAAAAGGAAAATGAAAAGTTTTTACTAGAGGTTCAAAACTATCGATAGTCAGATCATCGATAGTATTCGATATTATTTTCAAAACTATCGATATATCGTCGATAGTATCGTATTTATATGGTTTGCGTTCAATTTTGGAAAGACGTTTGGATACCCTTGAAAACTCCTGGACACGTTTTTTTTAATTGCTTAACCGTTAAGTTAGACGCAAAGTTATTGAGAATTTGAAATGGATTGAAATTGAAAAAAATTGTGCGTTATGAAATTTTATATTTGTGGTTTAGATATCCCAAGTCCTATGTAAGGTATTTAGCTAGTAAATTGAAATTTTAGAACAAGAAACCGTTTTGATATCATTTTTATTAAATAGTAAAAAGTGGTGAGTAGATGATTGGTATTAAGTTAATTATTATCAGTGTTTTACTGGAGTAAGCGGTATTTTAAAAGGTACACTTTTAAAAAAGTAGGAACCAAATTTTTAGTTCCACTTGGATGTTTAAGAGAAATGAAAAGAGAAGAAATAAAACTATAATAAATACAGAATCACATGTCTGTCGGACTATCGATAGGACCAAAAAAAAAAATCGATGGTTTTACACCTCTAGTTTTTACTTCATTGATGATTGTATTGGGAAGAGGAACGGAAAAAAGTTAACTGGCAATTGTTTTTGTTCATCTTAAAAATTTGTTTTAATATAAAAAAACACTCATTTTAGCAACAATAATTAGCAAAACGAGCTGTGAAAACATTCAATAAAAGTGGGTGAAGATAAGTAGTGCCGAGAATTGGAGAAAAACGGCGTTAAAAGGTAATTCAAATTTATTTGAAATCTAATTGATCGATGAGGAAAATGGCCAACGCAGCTAATGTGTAAAAAAAAAGTGGGTTGGCGTTAAGCTCTTGCTCAAAGGCTTGAACTAAAGATTGCGGCCGTGATTGTAATTCAAGATTATTCTTACGTAAACATATACTATAAACGTCTACATTTACGAATTATTTCGTATGGAAAAGTTTTCTAGTTTTACAATCAGCGTTTCTAAATTTGTGTGTACATCCATATACGTATGTATATACATACATACATATGTAGATATATGTATTGTAAATATTTTGCCTATACAATTCGAGCTGATTTTTGGCCAATTGCACTGGCTCTGGTATATTGAAGTTAATTGATTTATCGATAAAAGCCTACATATCGTCGTTTAAAATACAAAACCGCGTATCGTCGTTCTGCAAAACCGCGTAACTGCAATTTATTTGTCAAAAATTGGATTTGCTCGCACAAGCTCTTGGCTCAAGCCTTATCCATCCATTCGTCCTGAAATATATTAGTCATAAATGCGATTGCTTTGTAAAAAAGAGAACCATTTAGAAATATGAGTGTTTCTACTATCTGGAAAATAATTTATGCCACCTCACATACGCGGTTTTGCATTATCTTGATACGCGGTTCTGCATTTCTCAAATTAAATGTTGAAAATAGAAATATCCTTGCGTGGGGTAGTTGCGAAAGAATCATTAGGATCTATACATACATACATATGTATTTTGTAGTTTTTATTGTCTTTCGGTGCTTCCAAGCAATGAAATCGGTATTGGAGAAAAATTACTTTAGGAACCGGATGCCAGTACGGGCATGATATAAATATTAAAAAAAAAAAAATAAAAATAAAATATTTTTATCATGATTACGGGGTTTCCTATAGCATTTGTATTACTCAAATTTCATTCACAAATAGGAATATGTGGGCATTTAATAAACCACTTATGTACGTACATACATATGTATGTATGTGATTAAAAGGTTTTGATTTTGAGGATAAAGAATTATTGTATTCGTTTTAAAAGATGTAAAAATGTCTAAATTCGATTTAAGTTGATCTTTTAAACGACGAAATGCATGAAATATATACATACATATGTACACGACGCTTTAGTCTAAATGGACTGCGTAATATAGCAAATACCTGATAATTAAATACATTAAGGTGTATACAGTGAAAGCTCTCAAAGACGGACGCTCTAATAGGCGGTCACATTCTTGGGAACGAACAATTTATGGTTTTTTCCATACAAATTCTCTCCCATACACAGACTTTCCGATAAACGGACGCCGGCACTCAAAAATGTCCAGTTATGAAAAAAATCTCCCTTAAGCGGACGCGAAGCTCTAACAAGCGGTCAATTTTTTTTCAGTCAGATGTTGACTCTTGCGCTTCTACATATCGTCGTTTAAAGTTCAAATATATTTTCTTTTCTAGAAAATGTGTTGCCTTTTCGTTGCACTATTCGTGCTGCTTGAGCGGAGCGGGCAATGAGATTTTGCGGTAGGAAAGAAAACGCCATAAATTTGAATTTATTCTTATTTCATCCTGTTTCTGTCTAAGGAAGAATAAATATTATTTTAGTTTAGAAACCCGCAATTTCAGTTTGTAATATTTGAATTTTAATTTTATTTCTATACCGACAAAAAGTAGATGACCATCGGTGTCTGCTTATGGGAGTTTTCACTGTATTATCAACATTACATACCCTGCTACAATTAAATGCAAGGCTCCTGTCTGCGATGAAGCAAGACGTAGGTAGTAAATAACCGACTTTCATATGATGGACATGGACACCCATAAAATATTACTTTAAATAATTCGACTCCGGCGCCACCCGCTGGTCCATTTTTTGCAGAAGCATTTTTTATAACGAAATTAATACCCATTATGAACTTCAACCAGATTGTACATAAATACGGATTTTTTTGGTTTCAAAAGTATCTTTTATCATGCAAGTAACATACATACATACATTTTGAATTTAAAAGAAATCAGTTCATAAATGAGCCGTTCAGTGCACACATCGATTAACTCCACTTTCTGAAAAATCTTAAATTTAAGTGTCAAAGCACTTGGTATAGTCATAACTTATTACGTTTATAATAACTATATGTATAACATACAATAGTACATAATATTTATAACAACATTATTTATTTGATTTTATAATATAAATGGAATCTTAAAAAATAATGTACATTATTTGATCGCATCACCTAACTTTTTGTTGATGGAGTTAATCAGTTTGTGCGCTGAACGCCTCAAATACGACTCTTATAAATAACTCGTCTCGAGCGCCACATAGCGAGCTAATTTTTGATAATTTTTTTGCGAATGTTGTTATTGGTTTCTTCAAAATACAAAATAATCGTCGAACATAATTTATATGCGTGTATAAATCCTCGAAGTATTGCTGCTTTATTTATATTCGTTTGTGAATTGATCGGCACCTGTGGTGTAGTGGTTAGCAGTGCGCGCTTCCACATCGCAGTGCCTGGGTTCAAGCCCTGGTCAAAACAACATCACAAAAAATGTAAAAAAAGTGTTTTTCTTAACAGCGGTCGTCCCTCGACAGGCAATGGCAAACCTACGAGTGTATTTCTGTCATGAAAAACAGCTTCTCACAAAAATACAATCGCCGTTCGATGTCGACGTAAAACTTTAGGTGCCTCCAATAATTTCAAGGCGCACGGCGCACATCGGAGGAGAAGCTCGGCCAAACACTAACATATGGATTCCAGCGGAAAGTCTACAGCATAAAAACAATTAAACGTCCTATATCTATCATATTTATCGACCGATTTGGCTGCTTTTTATAATAGTTGCGATGCCGTTCGAGTCCGGACTAGTCAGAATTAGTCAGATTTTACTGGAAATACTTTCCCGTACTCCCAAGGACAGATTTTACTACTATTTTGTGAGATAGTGGACATTTTTATTAAGATTTATAAAGGAACTAAAAATATATCGCATTGAACACTGACAGAGCATATTGTATGGAATGATTTGCGATCAACTTTTCCTTTCATCGAGAGCACACTTTGTGATCAAGTTTCTTAAGAATTGTTTAAAACTTATGACTGCAGTGATGAACTTATGTATATTGGGCAAAAAACTCTTCTTGTTGTTATTGTTGTTCTTATAGCGGCTACAACAACCCCGCCCAGATCGGTTAGTCCCTCGATCGTTGTCGTCAAGCTCTACTAGCGGTAGCCCCAGGAAGCGTGGAGCATATGGGCAGGTGATGTTGCGGCGACATCAAATGGCATCCTGTCGCTGTCCTCTTCTCCTTTTAACTCTTGTAAGAAAAGCTCTTTTATTGATCCGAACTAACGCAACAATTCGCAGCACTTAGGTCACACTTATCCGTACCTGCGGAGGTGGAACCGAATCACGAAAAGTAGCCTGTCGTCTCATCTTCTATAAGATAGGATATGAAATAAGGTTGCCATATACATATGCCAACCGCATTCAGAGATTTGCGCCACGAAAAGTCACCACTTAGCCATTTCAAAAGTTGCCTGCTGTCCCTACTTGATTAATGAAGCAACCCGTCGAAACCTCCCACTTATTGCTTTTTTAAGTATTTATAGTAAAACAAGTTCCTTATGTATTTACTAGGGTGATTTTCCAAACCGGTTTCCACCGGTTTTTCGGAAGTTTATAGGCGGCTTTTTTGAAATCTTGATTTTTCGAATATCGAATATCGAAAATTCCTAAATAGTTTTAAAGTTATATCCCAGGTTATTTGAGGATGAGCATGCATGTTTTCTCGCCGTTAAAAATTCCTTCAAGGACAATATTAACAAAACTTTTTCAACGGAGATTTTAGTAACGTAACGCCAGGTAACGTCACGTCAGATAATTCAGCTGAGTAATCATAAAGCAGCAAAAGATTACTACATTTAAAAACTTGAAAAATTAACCTTAAACATTTCCAATATTACTACAAAAACTTTTGTACAAATAGTTCTTTCCCAATTCGCAAAGTTTTGCAATTTTGTAAGCCAAGTATGTTTACTAATATCTTTAAATCGCTACTACCAACAGTTGTATATTTTTTACTGAATGAGGGGGCATTTAATTGCTATGCTAATCTAGAAAAACCTTTTTTTTTAATTTTGACCTTTTCTTTTTTTTAACATGTCAAAACGAGCGTCAATTAACGCCAGATTGGAACTACCCATATGTGTAAGCGCCAATTTATTATTATTATTATAATGAATTGATCCAGACATTTAATACAAAAAAAGGTCTGTTAGGCATAATTTTTCACAATTCTGTACCTCTTTTTTATCGCGCTCTATTGTATAAATAAATCCTCACATACATATTGTCGTTGTTTTTGCAAAACCGCCCATCGACCTGTTGCAAAACCGCCTAAATCGCGGTTGTTGCAAAAATCAAGAATGATAGAATACAAGATTGCGCCAATCGACCTGAGAGTAACTGGCCGTGACGTCAATAAATACCAGAATGAGAGAGCAAGACGAACTCGACAAGAAAAAGAGGAAGCATCGAACAAAAGGCAGTATTGCCAAGTTTTCAATTTGAAAAAGCACCAAATATTTATTGGTGTATTTTATGGACTTTATATGCATACATAATTATATTGTAAGGATGCCGATTCAAATTAATAAAAATCAATGTTTCTTGCACGACGGTCGATTTTTTCTGGCTTGATTGAAGGTGCTGCCACATATTTTGTTGTCGCTTATGATTGTGCCATGATTTTATTAAAATTTTTGTGAAGTTGCTTACCACGCTTATGATTGCTATAAATTTTGCTTCCATTTTTTTAAGATTTTATAATTTGGTGTCTTCAAACTAAAAACAAAAGCACCAAAAACGCACCAAGCACCAAACTCAAAAATGTTCGGGTTTTGAATACCCACTAAATTTGGTGCGAAAAGCATTAAGTTGGCAACAGTGAATGTAAACAAAAGTATTTTATGACGTCAGCGATTGGGTGGATGCT